CTGGTGGCGCTCCGCTTAGATAGTCCTGCCGGCACTAAAACCATCCTGGGCAGAACCCTGCATCGGCATCTTACATTTGCATATAGACGACTTACTATGAATCAGCCTTTAGCCATCTACATACCCTTTGATGTCACTGTAAATGGCTGTGTCCACCACAGACATGGGGATGAAATGGCAGACCAGCAGGAATATCGCCAGGCCTCTCTCACCCTGCACCAGCAGGTCGATGACCCCCGGTATGGCTGCCCAGTAGGTGCCCAGGAAGGGCACAAAACCCAGTATGGCCGCCAGAGCTGTGCAAGAGAGAAAGTATCAAATGAGCCACAGGGACATACCAGGAGTTTCGACTTGACAAGATTTCCCTGTAACCTGTTAGTCCATTTGAACTACTTCCAATTAGGTTGCCACTTGTTCCAGAATCCCTTAAACTTTATCCCTACCTGTTGGGATGAATACAATCTTGATGCCAAACAGCGTGTGAGTCAGCCAAGTATAGAGTCCATAGAAGGCAGACATCTTGATGGATGCTCCCAGAACATCTCTAAGTTACCCCGCCCCAAAAAACAACAAACAACTTGAGAAATAATAAAGGAAAAACTTCCAAGTAAATTGATTTAAAATGTCTGGCTGTCAATAAATAAAAACTGTGACTCCATGGAAATATGCCAAAATTGGGGGGGGGGAACGTGCTTTGCTTCAGCTAATGAGTGAGTACAGTTTAACAGTGTGATACAGCTGGGTCTTGTTGCAAATAATGCCAAGATGCATTGTCTGGAAGCTTCAGAGAACAACAATGCCGTGAATATGTCATGCAACTCTTGAACAAATAACCACCAATAGTCTGCACTTGTCAAGTCCAACTTTGTAAAGGACTGTGGTTGTCTTATTTTATCATTTTAAGCACTTGCTGCCGGGGGACCCGTTTTCGAGAACATATGCTTTATACACGAAGCCGGGGAGCCTGAAACCGGGACAAAAGAGCTGGGCCTTGTAACAAAAGACTGTACTCGGCACAAAAGACTGAGCTGCTGGGCATTACTGACATTTTTTCACGCTCAAAAGAGGAGATAATCCAGCCTTGTTTTGAAACAGTATACCATGGTGCTGCACAATAATCTTGCCCCCTATTGAAAAGAGGTCAGCAGTGCACTGTGCCAGGTTTGTGAACTAAAGAAAGTTTTATATAACACTGCACAATCTGGGCTCTTTTTACAAGGCTGCAGGCATGGCTGAAATACTCAAAAGATTTTGTCTGTCAGGCTTCAGTGGCCACCAGACAGTAATTCATGTGGGTGTAAATGTCCATTAATTGAAATGATGAATTTTTGAAGATTTTTGAAAACTGAAAATCTTGAAATTCGCCCGTATGTGTGCACTGCATTTTTCAAACCACCCGGCAGCATGTGGTTAAAAGGGTGACGCTTACAGTCAAAAAATAATAGGCACCTGGGACAAGTCCACTGTGGAATAATAAGATGCACAGGTGGTTATGACCACTTAGTTACCATCTAGGAACAGAGACTGAATGAATACATGCAGTGTAGACCCGTGGTGACAAAATCCCCTCACCTGATTGCGGTCTCCAAAGCGCTGCTGTACTTGCTACTGGACGGGCCGGCAGGGGTCAGCCCCGAGATCCACTTCATGGGTAGGAACTGATCACGGCTTGAGCTCAGCAGATAGAACAGGGTTGTCACAAACACCAGCTGAGAACACAACAACAGAAACTTCCTCAGTTTCGTGCCAACTGTATCAAACGATGGTACCATTTCACGGTGTTTGTAATTCAATCGTTTTCTTACATTTTAATTTATGGCCTTTTGCCAGAAACCTTCAGATTTCCATCAGACAACTGGAGACCCATTAAATGATACCGTTTTACACTGACTCTCTAATGAGTCTGAGAAATTACACAGAAGCTGGGGGACAAAGCCTCCCTGAGGACTGCAGGGTTTAACATCATTCAACCTGTTAACATCAGCCAACATATGACCCTGTTGGCAATGGGGAACATCTAGTCCCTGCCACGCACATTTCAGAAAAGATCTCTCGTCCCCACAACGGTTATCAGAATATCCGAGGCCACTCCTGAAGCAGCATGGAAGACTTGGTCCTGGGTCTACAAAAAACAGAGGGAATGCAAGGTTGGCTATCGCCGTCCATGCACTTACGAAAGAGATGATGAAGTTGAGCAGTGCTGTGCTGCCCTCAAAGACAAACCGGAGAAGGGCTGTGAGAATGGTGAAGAGGATACTGACGTTACTGATCAGCACAGTCCAAATTGACTCCAAGACCTGGTGGGTGAACAAATGTTAAAATGAAGCAAAACAACAAACACCATGAACTTAAAAATGTGACAAGGAAAGCACAAATTTCAAAGCACCGGTTCTGACAAAATATCTCGAAAATATGAACTTGCTCAGATTTTGCATTCCCAAACAAATGAACAGAGTCTGTATCTGCCTTCATTATCAACTGCATTAACCCCTTCGCTACGGAGGACTGCTACTACCGCACCACTGTGTGAGGATTAGTGCATACCACACATACAGTCTATTCACCATGCAGCTGCTGGTTCAATGGCGCCTGCTGCTGGACAAAGCCCTCCATTCATGGCACGATTAAACCCAGCAGTCGCTGTCAAAATAATCCTGCCATGCAGGGGTTAAGGCCAGTTCATACTCCGAAGAAAGTCATGATGAATGTGATGCTAACATGCAAGAATAAATATTCATGCAATGAATTCACAAAAATTGGGCAAATTTCACGGCCAATATTTCATGTCCTTAAATTCACTTCATTTTTGGCTGAAGTGCGCACGCACCTATGTTTACACAGGCCTGACATTTTTACTGTCACTTCTGAACCAATGTTGCGATTCTGCATTTCATGATAGGTTCATTTCAAAATGACACTGTCAAATCACTAAATCTGCACAAATTTGGTATTCCAACATGACGAAAACTGTTGCTTACTATACCTGCAACCAAGCACTAATACCTCAGAAATCCCTCAGCTGTGATCCAATTCTTTGCCAGAAAAATTACAAAATGAAGACTAGTAAAACAAATTGACAAATATCCAAGCTTGGCAATTTCAAACTTGTCAACGTAATTCCACTCAAAAATTATGGTCTATAATTTTAAAATCTGGGACCCAAATGGGATTTATACTCAAACCATGTGAGATCTGCAGCCCAACTGAGAGTGGAGTGCAGAATAATGAACATGTTCACTTACCGATTTGACAGTCTCCAAGTTGTCCTGCACGGTCTGCACAAACCCACCCATTTCAATATTGTCCAGTTTGCCCATCGTCTCCCTGAGACCATTCCAAGACATGTCCACGCTAGCAGCCAGGAAGCGATGGTTGTCATCATCATCGTCATCACCACCGGTGCCATTCTAGCAGGAATAAAATCAAAAGTTGAACAGGTTAGAGGTGTGTCATGAACACGCTGTTTCCGAGTTAGGATTCTCACTCTGGGGAAACATTCCAGGCTTTTTTATTCTTCTGAAGTTATTTGAGCATGTATTTCCAGTGATGCAATCACAGCATTCCGAGTCATCAGTCTTAAACAGTAATTGTACCTTGAATTTGACTTAGGATTAACCTTGCCAGTAGACCTGCCACATTCCTTGTGTTTGGATCATCTTCTACTGACCAAGACGTTGACAGATCATATGAACCAATGTGCATTCCTACTTCAATGATGAGGACATGCAAGAAAAATGTGATGTGCAAATGCCTCGTAAAACCTCTGTATCGACCCCTAACCTGGCACCCCAGCTTTCTAACAATTACCTTCAACAATGTAAAAAAGGCAAGGGAAAAACCCAGGAGCTGAGAAAGCAGGCACAAGTCTAGGGTTCAGTTTCCAGCACACCCAATTCAACTCTTCCATTCAAAATGTCATCAAAAGAGAGGGTCTTAAAAGAGTGTCACAGTGTTGGCCACTTCCACCGGGACACCCTTCTTCACAATTTGTGACGACAGACAACCATAGTGAACGACCATATTCCTCACCTTGACAGCTAGCTGTGCATATAGTCGATCCCACAGCTCCAATACCTGCTCCTCGATGTGCTCCTTATTGTCATCGTCACCACCCAACGTGCTCTGCACCTGGGAAAAAATGAGCAAACCCTTCTGCCATTAGTAAAACTAACCCCCAAACCTGAGTAGTGCCCAGAATACAGATGAAACTAGGAGGTAGGACAGTGTCAGTGATTAAGGCACATCCACCCTCACTCATTCCCCATCCACGTGGATGCCCAATCACCACCCCGCTTCCAACCAATCAAGGCCCAACTGCAATGGCTATTCCCGTGGCTCCACCTGGAAAATTCTGGACGGCTTGATTAACTGCAAGGGCAGTTCTCAAACCTTCAATGTCTCCAAATGCTTCACAGAGTGATACTCAAAAAACAGTTGCCAAGCAAGTTATATGATCGGCAAAGTCAGGATACCAGCCAAATTGTGCCGTATTTTAGATTTCTTGTGAACAGTACCCAGCTTATTTTTGCTTACCATGCAAATTTGTTAAACAGATTTTTGCAAAGCAGAAATTGGATCATCTACCATCTACAGTTCCCACAACTGGAACCAATACCTTCTGAGATATCCAATCCCTGCCATAATGGTAAGCATCATTCAGCACTGTGTCCACGGCTTGCTGCATGTCAGCTGCCCCAGGGAACCATCTGCAAGAAATCCGATTTGAAAAATTACCTCGCCCACAAACAAACCCCTGATGATGAGAATTCAATACCACAACAAGCAGGGGAAGGCTATTCTTCTTGAACCTGTGGAACTCAAACCATGCACTTTGACTTCATAGAACTCATGAGTAAAACATAAGCGTCAATGGCCTTGAGAAGATGTACTCTACTCATAAATAAAACATAAGCGTCAATGGCCTTGAGAAGATGTACTACATTCATGAATAAAACATAAGCGTCAATTCATGAGTTTGACTTTTAATAGTTTTAAAAGAAAATCAGTCTAATCCACATTAGCTGCTTACATACCCAGCAATGCAAAGACCTAGAAGCCTACTTCTGGATAAGTTTATAAGACAGACTATGGGACGACTTACTGCTGTAGGTCTGGGTTCTGAGCGATGGTCTCATTCACCAGATTGCCAGACAACTGAATCAAGTACATACTCTCCTGTTGTATCTGGAATGAAGACACAGGCAAATAAGAACTATACCCAGAGAACTGGAGGAGAAGACTAAGTGGGGGAGGGAGGTACCCAGAATGATCATGGTCTCTCGACATTATGCGTAACATGTCAATAGGTGACAACTGTGAAGTTGTGGTTTGGTTTTTCCTTGGGCAAATTTCACTCACCCACCCTTGACAGCCATTAAGGCCCTCTAGATCACCCATCTTGGACAAACGATTTTGCCATGATTTTTTTCTGCCTATATAGTCCTCACTGAGCAGGTTACCTGTATCGCCATCAGAAATGCTATGATGACTGTGGCTATCATGACACCAAGGATGAGAACGATACTGATGACTTTGTCCACAGAATTCTGCAGCACACCAATCACCTGAAGGCCAAAAATGCAATGCTTTTATTGGTCTGCAAGGTCCTTGCTGCAGACAGCTTGTAGCACCAATAAGGGGAACAAAACTTGTAAAATCTTGTGTAATGTATCATGCAACTTCTGCATGTTTACAAAACAAAACTGCCAAGTTGCTGGAAGTTTCAAAACGAAAGTGTCATTTCTGCTAATGCTTGCAGAGTGTTTCTCTGAAGTAATTTGTGTTAGCTATCCATATTGTGGCCATTTCAGCAAAAGTGATAGGGCGGGATTTTCTAGTTTTGCAGTTGTCTGTCGTGCAAATTTTGCTGTTCCTCCATCGAATCAGTACACCTTTGAGGGGGAAAACAATACCTGCAGACTGTTACAATGGGTTACAATTCAAGTTTGTGATTTGTACCAAAAATCCCTTCAAAATTGTCCCTTCAATGCTGAGTCATTGACTCTTTCTGAATGGACCCTCCGCCAAGTATTACTGAAACGGGATGAACCACACACCAGCGACACAATCATGACTACGGTTTACCATTCTGTCTCCCTTGAGGAATAGCCCCGTTAGACCCCTGATGTAAGGAGGGATGAAGGCGTCTTCCCTTCCTGCAACCCAGTCCATTGCATCCGCCCTCCAAGACGCCACCTTTGGGGAAACATGTAAAAAAAAAATTACTAAAGACGGGAGTACATTGAATACAGATGATGACAAATGAGTGTTTGTGACCACTTCATAAAATTAATTATGGAAAAGCAAATTTCTGGACAATTTTCTGACTAGCTCTGGTTAGAGGTGTCCTCCTCACTGGCAAAGAAAAGACAATCAGGGAGGGAGCATTGTTTCAACTGGACTGCATGCATTTGGCGCATATTTGAGGACTGTACATTCCAGGAGAAATTTAGCTGAGCAAGTTTAGCGTGAGCCGTGGCAAGTGTGCATGAACCCATGAGTGTATGCAGTGAATCCCCACAAGACGGATGTCATGCCATATCTTGTTCCTGCGCAGAATGAAAACGCTGTTTTGCGTAAGAAAGCATGCGGATGCAAGAAGTAACCTGTACCTTTGCCATCACGAAGTCCCACAGGCCAGTCTGAGTGGCCACTCGCTTCAGCAGCCAGATGGCAATGGGGATGGGGAGGAGCTGCAGGAGCCACATGTGCATCCAGAGACGGACCAAGACGCAGGTCCAGAAGAGTCCCAGCAGGTAACGAGTGCTGAGTGGAACCTGTAGGAAAACACCAAGTGCTGTTTCAAAGATTTGCACACCAAGGAATGGATGGGATCAGTAATTGTGACTGGATTCCACAAAATCCATCTTAATGCTTCAGAATCAGTAATTTTCTTTCAGCTTTGCATTAGAAAGAGCACATTGAGCTTTGTTTTGATGTATCAATCTGTTTGAGAAACGGAGGAAAATGTATGTGAATTACGTCAGTGAACAATGTTCTTGGTTGGCGCTAATTTATATTTTGCAGGATTCTTTTCAAGATCTTCAGCTCTGGCAACTTTTAACTCAATTTGTTATGTTTGGTCAAAATTGGGAAAGGTGCTGAGTAGATCTTTTTATGTACAAACAGTACAATGCAAACAGTATTTTACAAATAGCAAAATCTACCATTTCAAATTCATTTTTTTTCATGATAGGTGCCACTGACCTTATCCTTGATGCTCTTTGCCTTTGTTTTTGGCTCTTGCACAGCCTGAGGGAGGTCGAGCCTTGATGGCCGGTCCAGATCTGCTTCATCTACTCCTTCCTCCTTTTTGGCTTCACCCTCCTGACCATCTCCTCCGAGACCAGTGTCTCCTTTTGCAGCCTGGTCCTCTTGTGCCTCAGGAGATACTGATGTGTCCGAGGCCTTGGGGCTGATCTCCGTCTCAGAGGATGTGAGGCTTGAATCTTGATCCTCATCACCGTCTGTCCCATCCACTACCAATTTTTTAGCAAAAACAAAGTGTACCTCACTTTAAACCCTAACCCTCTGCGAGACATTAAAAATCCGCTGGGAGGATTTTGAAGGACTATGGGTGGTCATGGGCATCGGAAGGGGAGGGCAGCAAGAGGGCATCTGTCTCCTTTCTCCCTCCCTGGGAAAAGAAAAAATGTGGGAGCAACAAAAAATGGGAGGAAGGGGGATGAAAATCCCCAATTTGCTTCCAAATCTCTTGGAATTTACCCTCTTCTACCATTAATGATTTCTCAGTTTTGCTGCTGATGAGTGCTAAACCCCCCTTTGAAAAAGCCCTGTCGCCCCTCCCCTTCCCTGGAAAAAGGCAAACGCCCCATGCAGATGGTACAGCCTCTTGGGAATTAGTGTACAGAGAAGATTTCATTACATGGTGACAGGTTTAAAGGATTCTGGACTTGAGTGTGTCAGGCAATCATGCCAAAAAAGACTGGATTAATTCATTAGATATATAGAATGAGCATCTTTGTACATATGGCTTTTTGAGTTTTATTAGGTTTTTACTCAGGCTAGGTAGAACAGTTAATACAAAACCTCCTCCTCAACTAGGTTGAGAACAAGCTGCAAGGTAACGACAAACACTTTGGTTACAAGCTTAAGGGAATGGTCACTTCCTGGACATTTGCATGCCAGTGACGAAAACACATCTACATGAATCTTAGAATCTCAGATTCAACTCTTTCCGCAGGCCTTGTCCCAGGCATTGAGACAGCTTGTATGCCTTCGACACTCAAGCCGAATAAAAATCCTCTTCGGTTGGATAGTATACTGTTGAATGTTCCTCTCCTAAAGCAAAAAACAGGACTTTTCATTAACTTTAACTCCACAGAGTGTGTGCAAAATTAGAAGGTTTGGACTATTGGGGCTATGCTAGAAACTCCAAAGTTGGGCATTAGAAAAGTTAGCCAAAGACAAGTAAAAGATGACCCGGTTGGCTTTAGGCCTATGGCAGAGTCTAACCTGCCTCCTTCCTGCGCATAGTACTGTAGCCCAGCGCCACCAGGGTGATGACCACCACAAACAGCAGGACGCGGAATGGTCCTGTCAGATTGGCCAGGTGCAGCAGCAGGATGATCCAGACTGGCACTGACAGGCTGCCCAGGAGTCCCTTGGTGGAGTCATTCCACCAGAAGATGACCAGCAGGAGGTAGGCAATGATGATGGTCCACACCTGCATGAACCAAAAGAAGGGGAAGAGATTTTATTCATTACTCATACTGTGTGGGAAAACATTCCAAGTTTGGGTAAAGTGGCTTGCTTAAGGACATGGGTCCCTACAAAATGAAAAGGAAAATGTTCCATTTTAGTTTGAGCTTTAGGTAATCTCAGCTTATGTTACACATTGAGCAAAGGCTGAGCAACGTTTTCCACTACGGTATTAGAGAAAAGTCTACTTTCTGTTTGAGAAAACTCTGATTTGTTGAAACTATAAATATAAAGACAGTTGATCAGAAATCAATTGTACAATTGCATCACGTAGGAGATGAAAACTGCAAAAAATGCTGTACAAACTAAATTAGTAATTAATAAACTAAATTTTGTCATTCCGTCAAAGAAATCCTGGACTGAATCGTCGGAAGTGGAAACCCATAGGTTATCTAATTTGCTCGTTAGTACTGATTATTTGATGGGTTTCATTTATTCCCATGGGTAGTCCATATGCATAACTTGCTTATAAACATCCGATGTTCCCTATGCCTACAAAATTAATTAATGGAAAAAGGGAGGAAGCAAAGTCTTCTGCATCCAACAGAATCTTCAAGCTGGAACATTTATTCACTGTTTGGAAAAAATGCTTCCATTATCCACAACAAACTGCACTGAAGAGGATAATTCTAACAATACTCTACATTCAGTACCTGATGTAATGAATGAAAGAGCAGAGGTTTTTCACATATCGAGTCGGCTCCGTCCGTCATTAGAGCGAAGTGTAATTTTTCAAAATATACTTATGGCCTTACAGCAGAAAGAAAGAAAAAAATACTGTAATACATCATCTGTTTTACTTTTATTTATTGAACTAGTTTTTTGGGGCCAATGTATTTACATGTCAACAAATTTTCTGGCCCAATTTCATGTTTAAAATTTTTTTTCAATTTAAGGAAGTTTTAGTGCAATTTTTCAATAAGGACCTTTTAGCAAGGACACAATGATTGCATGCCCTTGTCGTACACGTAACACTAGCCTAAGCCTACCACAGAAATATCCAATACAGTTTAAGTCAGACCACTTTCTCAAAAACAAGATTCCAATGCATAAAAATATATGAGGGGAGTCCTGCCATGTAAACGGACAATGAAAAGTGTTAAAATTAATGAGGTGAATCAACAAATACTTTCTCTTTGCTGGTATTCTTTAATATCATTGGGCCAAATAAAAAATTAGTTGTGTTTCCTACTACACTAAAAAATAAATTAGGGTGGCAGGTTGGGTAATATACATTTTTACTCTAAATTTTTATAGCCCAAAAAATTAGGGTCGATGCGCTGTATTTTTGGGGGGGGAGGGCACATATATTTGTAACAGGTACTAAGTCAACTCTAACCATGCTGAACCCAACAAGGTTATGCAGGATCTCAATGGTCCCTAGGGGGTTAAGGTTAACTGTACTGTGTACATGTGCACGTCAATATTACTTATCAGCTCTGTGATTGAGTAGTAAAGCAGCTGGTTGTTGAAATACAAACACACAAGAGCCCTCCATCTCATGCAAAAAAAATAAATAAACAATACAATGGACAGGATGATGAACACAAAATTAGGCTTGGGGCAAGGCACAATAAGTTTTCAAATTGTTTTTGAATTGTCGAATAAAAAGATATAGGTTCCACATGATTTTCTAGGTTGGGTCGGGTAACCGGAAAGACAGCTCTTTTTGTTTTGCCTTACACAGTTGTGTCAATGTATACAGAGAGTTCCCTGTGCCTGTTTGTGCAGTTTTCTTTTGATACAAATGAACATGTATATTAAAGAATGCATTCTGCATGAATCGAGTGGTTAGCGTTCTCAGGAATTAATGAAACCTGCCAGTGTACACGTACACTACATGTATCTCTGAAAACATCTACACCAAAGGATCTAGAACAGTCCCTAAGGGAGCCGTTTGCATTATTTCATTATAATGTGTTTGCTTCACTAGTGTTTTTACTTTTGTGGTTGGAGATGTTAAAAACGGGAAATTTCCTGAGAGGCTTTCCAGGATAAAATGTATCTTTCAGAGTTGTAGTGCATGTACTAGTTCATTACCAGGGACATGCATGTACAAATCCCAGGGAAGGTTAAGGGATGAAGGGATATATCCCCCTTATTTTTGACAATCCTGGGAACGGGCCATTTGATCACCTCCCCCAATTTGTTGATGATGAAAAATGAAACAGTAGGCATTTTCCAGTACTGTCAAACTTTTCAAAAGCCAGACGAAAGCTCTGATGAAACGGTAAACAAACAGTATAAAAACATATTTAAATGCATCAATTTGATGTGGAGCTAGTGCCTATAACTAAGCAATCAATGTGCACACAAAATGTATACACAGCGATTGTGGTCATCTCTCGTGTCGTACCTCCCCCATCCCCAAACTCACTGAAATTGACATTTATGCCACTGCTCCTTACCCAGAGAGTGCTGAAGTACCCCAGGCCCTCATACAGTACATGGAACACCCCCAGAACAACCTGCACCACGTAGTCCAGGCACTGGTAGGCCAGGTAGGTCAGGGGCAGGCCCAGTGACACGGCTGCCAGCAGCTTGAAGCGCTGGGAGATGACCTGGCCCAGTTGCTCCGAGGCAAAGTTGAGCAAGCTGAGGGGGATAGCCACAGTGCCTACCACCAGCGGGGTGCCCGAGTCCTCCAGACCCTGCAGCCAGCCACTGACGTAGCTGTGGGATGTAACATGTAAAAACAAGCAAATGCAGAGGTCTCTGACACTTGCAGCATAAAATCAATTATGATGCAAAAGCACCTGACATTACTTATTAACACTAGGCCAGCTACAAACACACTACTTTAGACGGAATCAATCATTCTGCACAAGCAGGAACACAAAAGTTTGCCCTAGCATTGTCAAAGGGAAGGGATAGGGAGGTGGAATGTAAGTAAATTTGGAGGGCAAATAGATCATAACCTGGACAGTCAACATAAAACTGGAATGACAAAAAGTGTATTCAACGTTTGGAATAGGCATGATAGTGTTAATTACAAAAACGTTGACCATTATTTTTGGGACAATTGCATTTTTTAACCATTGAGCTGACAACACTTTAAGCTACTATCGTGGCGATGCTGCTGTCTAGTATTTAACTGTTCCGCGTGTCGTCCAAGTGTTAATGAGTTTATCTTTATCTTTGCACTGCTGTTCAGATGCAATCAAGGTCAACGCACCTTGTCAGTGTGTACTTGAACGGATACAGAACCGTGCCACACAAAACGGCCCACAACAACGGCTTGATGAAAATCTCCAGCACGAAATACACAGCGACCGCCGCACCGCAGAACAGCACGATGAACAGGATAGTGGCAGCATTGTAGAAGGCCTGCTTAAGGGCCTTTTCGTGGCCCTGGGGCAGGAAAGTGTTGAGAACACTATCAAGAGGCGAGCGGGGATCCCCGCTGTCAGACGATGGGTTCGCCATGTTTGGAAGTCCCTGGCGAAATTCCCGATTATGCCGAGTCTGGTACCCGTCGAATCGCTCTTGGTTTTCCCGCATTACTTGCAGTCCCCATGCTAACTGTTTACGGCTGTTCCATGAAAATTTTCGTTCAAACACAAAACAGTCACTCATCAGACAACTTTGGAACAGCCAGCTCTATGCATGGGAACAGCGAACTCGGAATGGATTAGGAAATCAAATAAGAAATCCGGGAAAAGAGTAATTGTAACTAGGGTGGGAAGGGTGACCCATTTCTCCAAATTACCCTGGCTGAGTCTTTTACACCACCTCTGACGGCTCTTGTAATAAGATAATCCAACTCCCTGATAATGATAAATAAAGACTATGTTTTTAGAATAAGACAGATTTTGATGAAGATTATTTTCAGTGGTCTTTTATTATTTTCTTATTCATATGGATTTTCTTATATCAAATGATAAACTCACTTAATTAAAAAAAATGACATTGCTGTATTGCTACAACAGTGTTGATTCTCAGCTTTGTGGAGTTATTTTCTTTTACAAATTTACAATTTTTCTTCCAACTCAATTTTAAGAATTCCCCTCCTCCAGTAACCTTTACAATAGTACATAAATATACAATGTGCATGTATAACATTCATTTTAACAGCTATCTGTAGCAGTTATAAAGTATGAGAATTTAAATAGGGAATCCCAAAACGAAATGGCAAATTGTGTCAATCTTTGACCATTGCATTACTCTGCAAAAGATTCCTACTCAGGTTAAATTTTGCCACTGAGATCTTTACATCAATGAATGTGAACCAAAAAGGTTGCGAGGTGTCAGCTTTCTGTTGTTTATATGAGCGGGCATACACACCTCAGATCAGTGGCGTAACTGCATCTCAAAAAAATGTTTCCATCTCTGTATGCCCTTTCAGAAATGTCACCCCAGTTACACTACTACTTCAGTTTTGACCACGTCCAGCAACTGTAGATAGGACTTTACGGGTGGGCATTGTTTCGTCTGGCCCACAGTCCATAAAATGGGCAAAAACCAATGTGGAACAAATCTTGCTTGCACATAGGTGTCAATCAGTGGAAGACGGGGGACATGTCCCCCCCGCCACTTTTCCAAGTGGGAGGGGATAGTGTCAATTGTCCCCCCCCCCCACACACACTTTTTTGCAAAACCTAAATGAAAATGTGTAAGCATTTGTTAAAAAACGTGATTATTAGTAGCCAAAAATTGTCTCGGATCACACCACAAAGCATCTGTGATCCAAAATTTTCCAGAGCCCTTGAGCAGCGCCTGGACCCCATGCAACTCAAGGCTTCACGCTCGCATTTGTTCTTATCAGGGTTATGTGTTTATGTTCCCCCACTTTTCAAAACAGAATGACGCCCTTGGTGGTGGATATAAGTAAAGGTCACATGGGTGAGTAAGAGTGCAGGGGCAGTCTGGCACACAACGCATATAGTTAGGTGAAAGTAGCAAAGATGACACCCTCCTCAGCTAAACTGCATCACAGCACCAGTACTGCCAAAAAGATTGCTCCAAAGTCTGGTGATGACAGTAAAAGGGTCATCCCTCCTCGTCAGACTCCTCTGGGCCATCGTCTCGTCCTTTGCCCTTGTTCTTTTCCAGTTTGGCGATCAAATCTATTGGAGTGAAAAAATCAACAGAATACATGATAATTCAAGTGTTCATTACAGCGCTTAAAAAGCCACTTGTCCTATTGGGGGTTACGAAAGTCACAGTGGACAGATTTCTCAATATCCCTGGACGCTTACCTCTCGCCACGTTGAAGATCCCATTCGTCTGCGCGCTGCAGACAAAACACCTCCTGCTCTTCTTGTAGTGTTTCAGGGCACACTTCTCGCAGAAGTAATGCTTGCATCTGTGGAAAATTAGAGAGAAAAAAATGAACGTAATTTCCCACTCAATGCCATGGTGATATGTGCAAGCTAAAGACAGATCAACTAGACCTGGAAATGAAACCATTGTGGGAGGTTCTTTTATTCAAACAATGAATGTACACCTGCAAAACAGCGAGTCTTTGTATTTCAGTTTTTTCTTTTAGTCTTTTACCCCCCATCAGTCTTAACAGCCAGGGGCTTATTCTTGCTGCATTTTATACACAGGCCGGCCACCAACAGCCAGATCATAACTCTGGTTGGCACTGTGACCAGTCGCATTCATTCACTGGACAAAGGAAGGTGACTGGTAGACACCCGACTCATCGATCTCCAACAGTCAAAGTGCAGCTATGTCAAGTTCTATGAACAGTCACAGCAAGTTGGTTCAGCTTTATGTGGAAACGGGGCTCTAAACTGTAAAAAAACAGTCACTTGGTTGATTGTGATGGAGAGGATAACATTATCCAGAAGCCCAGAAGGAAGTTAACACACACAGAATTAGTTCTTTGAGGAACAAATTCTTCCTTGATAAAGGAGCAGTTTCACCAGAGAAACATGTTATTTGGGATTTTTAAAAAAGGCTTGGCAAGGAAGAGGCGATAGACAGAGGGGGGGCAGTTAGCTCTATTATCTTCATTAACTTTCTTAGGATTTTCATGTTAAATAATCAAATTAGTTCAATAAACTGACGTATTTGCCAATTCATTCTTTAAAAGAAGTATTTAAAGATGTGGAAGTGAGGGCACTGTTGATGTGCAATGGAAAACATCTTTGTATTAAACAAAGCCTAATTTTTCTACAATATGCACGTGAACAAGAAACTTACAAAATTTTTATAATATTGACGATTTGCTAAAATGTATCTCTTGTGGCATACTCTTACTTTGTTACAACTGGTTTCTCAAAGGACTGCCTGCAGATGAAGCATTTAAATGGTAGGTCCCCGTCCTCGTCACTGTCAATTTCGTATTTACTGAAATCTAGACAATAAGAAATGGCATTATTTAACAACTTTGGGTAAGTCTGCATTGTAAAACCACTGTGGAAATAAAGGGACAGCTTGTGCTACTCCTGCCAAAAACTCCCATTAACTAACAAGGATAGTTTAGCCATTACTATTGGTCGAAAGCCCGTTACATGGAGGGTATTAAACAGTTGATGAAGTACTGGCTGGCTGTGTACCACCTCATGCAGTACACATCACGCATAAGCCAATCTCCACTTAGGACTACTTGTGACAGGAACACACCATAACATGGCCAGGGGGGAGTTTGAGGAAAATATTGAAACTGTAGGACCAAATCGTTGGAAACATTTTTCAAACTTGCTTTGACTTTGGAACTTAACAGGTATTTATGAATGGGAATAAACATGTGCCTGGGCTGAGCGGTCAAGACCAACCAAGCACATATTTATTCCCTGATAAATCCTTAGCTAGTATCAGAATTGCACAATGTCGTCATCATCTTCACAAACTAACACCATACAAGTGCTTTTTAGGTAGACTTTGTGAAAACTGTGCACTTGTAAGAGCTAAAGATTTAGTTTGCAGACGAACATATAACCATTTTGTAAATACATAATACTCCAATAAAAATGCCATAAAAGGTTTAACACAGATTCACTCTATCGGTATACTTGTGGAAAAAAGTAATATTTGACTACAACCCTTTGTAACCTGGATAATCAAGAAAGTTATGGCTCATGAAAACAAAAGTACTCTGAGTGCGCATGTAGGCACTTGTGGGTAGGCATTCACTGCATTAAGGGGACGCATTGTTGCCTTTGAGGGGACAAGTTTTTTTGTTAGGTAAATTTGGACCGAGTTGTGGGGATGTTTTCTTTGTCCCCATAAAGTTTCTGGTCCCAAGAAAACAGGTGAAATACTGAGTGTATGTCCCCATAACTACGGTGCGGGAGTGGCAGTGTCGGTTCGTGGAAACAAACGTTACAGGAACTGTAAATCACACGAGGCGTGCACACAAGCTTCACTTCGTGGCAGTTAGCGGGGTCATTGATACGTTCAGAGCTTAAATCCAAGATATTCCCACAATATGCCACCTACCTTCCTCTTTGTCAAATTTTCCCTCTTCCCATTCCCTCTCTAGCTGCCAGCCAAACTTGTAGTCTGACCGGTCGTGCATGAACTTGCAGCTGTCGCCGAACCCGCAGAAACCGGTCTCCTTGTAGTCCTTGCAGATGTCTGGGGCATAGTCCCACCGTGTGGTGGCCCGCAGGTTGGCGGGAGCTCTCATGGGCCCCTTCCTGTGCCAATCGGGATTTCGAGCAGATCTCTTGTTAACAGACAGTGTTACTAACATATTCCCGGCTGTGCCCGGATTAGTGTGGATACGCACGGGCAACCAATCACACACAGAATCATTTTGGTCAAGAGTGTGGGACAGTGTTCCTAACAAGAACAAATATTTTTACAAGCATACCAGATGTTGAAGACCCTCTCTCAATCCCCACAGTTACATGTATCATTGTCATAACTGAAGTTGTCAACCTTAGCTGACTTGGCATTCCCAAAGGGAAAGTGAAATTACGGCATGCATCACTTATAGTCAAGTCTGTTTTGATCATTTATCAGAATACAGAAATACAAAACTACACTTAGGTTTCATACAATGTGGCACCAGAAATTGGAGGGACTTGAACGAAAAACTAAATTCTGATTTCGATAAGGGTAAAACAATGTCCAACTTAATTCAGAACAATTGCATTTATACAGAAGTTAACTTATATCTCAACAAGCAAGAAACTTGCTTGTATCATCCAGTTTCATAACTGACAGCCTACCTGACATGGCCACTGGCAGCATTGCCCAGAGCAGTGTCTTTCTTCTCAATGTACGTGTGGTAATTGTTGATACCACGATAAATCTTGTCGTCTTCTTTACCCTTCAGTTCCTGAATGCACGGGAAAGATCACAATGTATCGACCATTGGGCGTTAAAAACTGCCAAGCACAAGTCTTAACAGCACTTCAGGCACTCAGAATCAAGAACCGCCACCTTCTTCTTCTTGCAATTTGAGGGGAGTCAAGTTGATGTAGTTGGGCTGTCCTCGACTACCCGTGGTTCGAATCCAACCCAGGCCCATCTGGGGATTGGGTTTACAGTCCCCACCTGATACAGAGTTGCCCTTGAATTATTGGTTGAGGGTTCCCCTTCCACCTCTGACAAGGTTAATTTCGTCAATGTCTTCTCCCCTAAAAGCCCCCAGGTAGAAGAGTTTGTAACTAAGACTGCTTAACCCTGGTGATATAAACAATTAATAAATAAGAAGAGAAGAGATAAGACTTACCTCACTGATCTGCTGCTTCTTTTCAAAGATGGCTCTGGCATCTTTAGTGTTATCTGTGTCAATTTCAATGGTTGCAGTCGCTCCCATATCTTCAGGCCCTTCTGGTTTCTGGCAAAATAACACCAATGACAGCGACAACTAAGTTCCCTTTTCAACATTCAAAAGAACAGCTGCAGGAAACAGACAGAAGACGAGTGCAAGTTTGTTTTTAAGACTTTCACTTTGCGCTGACATGGCTAACCTAACTCACTGTCATAAACCTTGGAAAATGTGATTTTTTCTTGTCCACCAATGAAAGCACAAAGCACATCCGAGAATAAAATCCATGTACAAACCCTCACCATCCAAGCATGTTAATAATAATATTTATTCGGGCAATTAAACCTACAACAATACAATCACAAGACACAGCAGGCTGCCCAGGAGACCATTAAAGTTTAAAAATAAACTGTCGCCAAAAGGCGTATGTCTCCCAAGACCCAAATAGAAAGGTAAGGTAAGAAAGAATGCAACAATAATGTTCACCTTCCCTAGAGCACCAGAATCAAATGCTATGCCGTGTCACATTTCTGCACTTTGAACACAAGTAAAACACGAAACAGAATCAAATGCTGGGTTTGAGGTGACTTGAAGTAGCTGAGCTGAAGGAAAACCTACAGACTAGGGTATATGCACACAAAAGGTTACTGCCACACAAAGACAGATAAAATATGGCAACTTGTGAAATATTTTATGCCCCCCCAAAAAAAATCTTACAGCTGTTCTGGTGGACTGGTACGACACTCTGAAGTCTTTATCTGCGGTAGCTGCATCATCGCTGTCGCTGCTATAGTTGACTTGTTGTCGTTCCTGTAACCTCTTCGTCTGGGGAAAGCAGAATCAAAATCAAGGTTATTCCCTTCATTTTACATGTAGAAAAGCCACAGGAATTCACCTATTGTGGTAGAGTCGCGTTAATGCAGCTTGTGAAATATTCCAAATTACATAATGAAGAAAATGGCCGTGGAACATACAAAATCTGAGCCAAACAAGCTCAATGGCAAAACTTCACAGGGTTGTCCAAGGGGTGTGGCTCACTCGGAAACAGCAACAGGTCAATCATAAAAAATGTAATCCAATTTTCCTGCTACACTACACAGGCATATCAAGTCACTTTCATTTGATTTATGCTTTTGCATTGGAGGGATGAAATGAAGATTTGTAAAGTTGCTTTTACCATCAAGCACTTTGACCTTTCACCACTTGGGTCAGACTGAAGGATCCCAAGGTGGACGCTACAGACTGTGCTTCCAGTCCAGCTACTGGGTTGTGGTTTGCATGCCCCTTGGCAAGCCACTTTACGAAACCTTGCATTTTCTCAAAGAGTAACCGGTTTCTGTGCAAGTTTACTGTGCTTGAAATGGCAGCACAGAGCAATGTACCTGTACTTCCCTAAGACCTGAAGCTGTTTCAAAAAAACTGAACATCGACCAGGGGCACAGGGGTGGGCCTAATACTGATTAAATTCTGAGTCAAAAACATAACAAACCTAAACCATCAGTGAAAAGAAGGTTGTGCATAATTATTGCTGAATATAAAAATTTGGAGATAAAATATTTTGGCTGACACACTGACTTTCTTGGTATCACTAAAGAGCTTTGTTGTAACGCTGAACACAGGATATACATGTAAACCTGAAATGGTAACAGCATTAGAATTCCCAACGGTACAGTCTATTTGTTTCTCACCTTCTGTTTGAGGGGGTTGCTTAACTCTGGCTTTCTCTCTTTCTTCACAACAGCACTGCCACTCTCTTCACCACTCCCTGTTCAAAATAACGATAACACACAATTTCACAAAGTGTATTCTCGTTTTGTGAAATTGACCATAAAGTCCCCTTGTAATAGACAGGATAGACTATGTTATGTTTGATGTCGGTTCAAGAAATGCATGATAGGTATGTGTCTATTAATTTCTACCTTGAACCAAGACAGTGTTGGCCTGTGGGCCAAGCTACATCGAACACAACGTGGTCTATTGCAAGCGTGCGATACTGCATGTACTGTGTGCAATCATGAAATGTACACTGTAGGCGTTCTGGCGATGACGTAATCAAATCAGACTGGGAGCGCGAATGGCCAAAAGGGGATTTTTTGTGGGCGGGGAAACGCAGGATCTTTTTATTCATTTTGGGGTAAACATTGGATTTATGTTGTTTTTGAAATGGTTACATATTTATTGTTATTTTGAAATACTTCGTATGAACTAAATGCTTTCAATTTCTGTTAACCTTTAAGAATTTAGTCATTAATTTAGATTTTCCCCACTGACCACAACACTCCTTTTGCCCACTGGAATTTTGATTGTGAAATATGGAAAAGCCACCCATTGGCCGATCAGAGAGAAGAATCAACACTTAGCGATGTCATCCCGACCGCGAGAATGGGGAAAATCTGAATTAGGCCTATTGAACTCTTTCACGTCTTAACCTTTGTAAACACTAATAGGCCTAAGCCTGAAATTTCACTGTTTATGCAATATGAATATCTCCCACACTCTACAGCAAAGTTTTCAGTTATTTTCATCAAGTGGCTGCAAACAATGAGGGAGAACACACAAATCCCTGTACAAAGTAAAGGCAAGTTTGCCCCTACGTCCAGAACAGTAAGGTTTATACAAGACAGCAATGTACACGGTGCATATCCGACATGGTGTTACAATGTACTTCGGTTTGCATAGAATTTCTCTGCCCCTACACTGATTTTCCCCCATAATTTCATGAGGTCTCCCGGGATACGGTTCGGTATGGGATGGGGGTTCATTTTCATTATACCATAATAAGGGTGAAATTTACCATCATTTCCCTTACCCACACCATGCAACATCCACCTGACCACGGTGTAACGGCATAGAAATTTCACACAAACTGAAGTAGCACCATGTAGGATATGATGATATTTCGTTACCACCTGTAAGGTTTGTATAAACCTAACAGTTCTGGACCTAGGTACAGCTAGGCTACCTGCTAGCCCAGGTTAGACGTTGTCTTCATTTCATTACGACTGACGTCCAGGGTATAAAAGTTGTGTACAAAACGACCACAAAGTGGGTTCTAGTTTATTCTTGGTTTACCTTGTTGAAGGAACTAATTTTTCATATTTACAAGTTCTTTGTGGCCTTATCTATCCGTCCGGGGGTTTAGGAATTTTAGAACGAACCATGGACTGCAAAATTGAGGAAAATAAGTGAGAGATAACATTACATTTGTAGACGTAATTCATCCGTTCTTGAGTTGTAAAGTGCACGCATGTACAGGAATCCGAGCTACGTGCACGCACTACGTGTGTGCGATTTGTAGTGAAGGTCTGTTGCATGCCTGCTACATGGAGGCCATGACTGGTACCCGGCTTTAACCCGCCTGCCGTCGAACTGATATCAAAATTGCAGTCCCTTTTTGTTGGATCAGGGGCTTCAAACTGACCAATTAACCCCCCATTGGTTTGGTTTATAAACATAAATTTGCGACACAACCTGCTATTTTATAAGAATAACCTCGTTTATTGTAGCAGGCTTTAGGCAGGGTTTCTGTGTGGGAATAAATTCATAAACGATCTTTCCTTGAAGTGTTTAACATGTTTAATTTGTTCGTAGATTTTTATTGACTGAAGATGTATAAATACACAATCTTGTAAAGATCTGATTTTTATTAAAATGAAAGAGTTACCTATCTTGATAATTGAGGAATAAAAACAGACGATTGCATTGCTGGCATGATGATCATGAAGAACAGGCAAGGGAACACAGTGTGCAGAGGCGTATTGGCGCGCACGTGCAGTAAGTAGAGATCACACACAAATCGTGCTGTTGATCAGCCTTTCCTTTTTATTCGTAAACTAAACATACAATAAGCAGACTGAAATGGTCATTGGCAGTGACGAGTTACATTTTAGAGCAATGGACAGATAGCTAGACTGTGACGAAGTTCTAAAAAATCTAATTCATAATCTTACGTGTTTTGGGGAGGGGTTCGGGGAGACGCTCTCTTAAAATCCTCAGCCTCACATAGGCCTACTTCAACAGTTGGAAACTCTAATTCATGTGTACTATGTAGTTGTTGGGGTCCTCTGTAATCATAAGTGCCTTCCGATATTCTTGTCAATGTTTTTCACCAGTGAAGAAATGTCGCCAAACAGTTACGTAAGTGAGCTTAAAATTCCTTGGCTTGGGAGGTTGACATTTATGGTCATGCTGGAGCTGTGTCTGGTTATCGGACAAAGGATCCTAAACAGTGTGCAATTTCAAAATACTCAATAATCTAAAAATAGATGATTTTTCGTTTTTAAATTCATGCCCAAGAGATCATGATTGATCATCACCGTTATTGACTCTCATATAAGTCTCGTTTATTAAAGAAAACACTTGTCTGTGCCAGCGCGTTCAGGAAAAGTTCTCCATCTCTAAGAAACAATGTATTTTTCTTTTAAAACTTCAAAAATGGGACAAATCAACAGATATGAGTAAATTTCTAGAATAGAAAAATGTGCCAAAGCCTTGCTGGACACCGAACTGCTGGGAGTCCCTTAACTTCTATCGAATTTTGTGGACACCTTTTGTCAGTTTATTTTAAGTTCACCTGTTAACACATACATGTAGAACCGGTACATGCTAAAAAAAGGCCAGGATTTGTACAAATTATGAATTTTAGCTTTCCCGTACTGACCATAGGAGACTCAGCTTGCATGCTGGTAACCAACCGTTACCAACGCAAGCCACAGCCTTGCCCCCGGCCCGATGTTGTGTCGGCATGGAGATCAATGGTACTCAAGGCTGAGAACCACATTGCGTGGTACGTGCTTTAATGTGAGCGTTTCGAAATGAGTGGATTTGGTTACACTTCAGTTTTGCTGGTTCCAGTCAGAACATGTCGTACAAACTGCTGCACTTGAGAACAGCTGAAAACAGTCCACAACGATGGCAAGAAATAACATTAGGTCCAACTTTATTTTCCTGTTTTTGTCTTTGGTCATGTTGATTGTGATGTGTCAAATTTCCTATCAAACCAGCTGTGGAGATAAGGATGCATAGGAGTTACAGACGTGAAATTGGCTCCTTGGAAAAGGTAGAAGTGTTGGAAACTTTAGTTATAAAATTTTTCGCCCGATTTTGCACCCTTTAATACCCTGGACTCCCTCCATAACGTTGTACGGTCAGATAGGGGGGTCATGCTAATTAGCGTCAACAAGCGTCAACGAGCGCCAATAAAGTGTCAACTAAATTGCAAGCATTTTGATACAAGTAATGAAAGATGGCGGCCGCCATACATCGCGAAAAAGTTCCGTGTTTCTGTGTGAATCTGGAAGTGAATTCAGGGTTTCTTTTACACAGTGGCACTGGCAGGTCTTAGACATTTTTAGAGTTTTTCAATTTAGATGAAATTACTTTTAAACCCTTAGGGGGTATTTTCAAGATGTTGATGCTTTGTTGACGCTGGTTGTATGTGTTGACGCTTGTTGACGCTAAATAGCATGACCGGATCAGGAAGCCCCCTGGCCCTGGTTGGCCGAGCTAGGCTACCTGC